TGTAGAAATTAATTTTCTTCAATAAAGTGATTTTTAAGGCTCATATATTTCACATTCTAAACATATGTCACTGTTTCATAAACAAAATAAATGGATTAAAATAATACATTACCAATATGCTGACACATGGAGATATTTTAATTAGAAATACTTAAGCTGCGTGATATTTAACTGCTATATTTGTTGAAGAGGAGCATGCATCATTGCATAAGACATAAGGCAGGTACATCACTTTGCATGATGTGGTACCAGAGTGGGACCAAATCACTTCCAGTGTGAGCTATCACTATCAGATCACATTAGCCCCACTAAAAAAATTGCTTTAAGATTACAACATATAAAGGAAAATCTGTAAGAGCAGTAGTCTGCTAAAACATCTTTTTCATTGAAATAATAAGTCACCAGGATCCTAGTTCCCGAGAATAATATTTCTTCATAAAAAGCCACATTTAACATCTTAGCTATTTAAAGGCCATATTTACATGACTGTCGCATTACATTGGCCGCTTTCCTGCACATTCTTCTTGACATGCTTTAAGGACCAGCACTAAAATAGCTGAGGAAAGCAAATGTCAACTATGTCCTGAAATTTATATGTGTGAGAGAATTGGAATAAGTAGAAATGTAATATATTGTTTACTGTACTGAGTGCCCTCTGTTCTCTAAAGGTCAAAAGCATTGTAACCTTAGAGTTACAGTTTCTGATTGTTCCCAGGGTTAAATTCATTATAAAAATTAATGGTTCAAACCCCTCAACCTTCAGATATATGAGTATTCATGCCTCCATCTGCTGAACTGTTCAACTAAAAATAGCATTCTTTGGCTTTCCCTCTACTAATACTGTGCCCCTGAGGCAGGCTATGCAATGCTTCAGCAGCACACTAGATCTGCACCCAGCAGTATAAAAAAAGGTCATTCACTTTCTCTGCAATTAGAAGAGAGTATGGAGGAGTAGGATGAGATGGGAGTGAAGAAAATAGACAAATATGTGTTTAGTTAAAATTTAATTTTTTTAAAAATGGATTATAAAAACTTCAGGCTTCAAGAACACAGCTGCAACTATAGTTAAGACTTGCCAAGGTTCATTAGTGTTATAAGCGATAAATTTTGAAGGACAAATTACACAAATAGTTTAGGGAAAGAGTTATGAACGTAATCTTTTTTGTTTTGCTTTTTTTCCTAGAGCTCACTTTGTTTAGGAATAACTCCAGCTAGCATCATTGTAGCGCTTCCATTTCTATCAACAGTTTATCAGTTGTGGCTGAGAGAGTTGCAACATTTCCTTATTTACCTCATAGAACACTTCGTAGAAATATCTAGAGAAAAGGCAGATTTTTTCTTTTTAAAAGAATAAAGACCACATATTAACATTCCTTGTTTGAAAGTAAGGACATGTAAGTGCCACATCTGCCACATAGACTTCCCAGTAATTAGGTTACTGCTACAAGCACCATGAGAGATGGGAAAATTCATTTCCTGATCAAGTTCACTCATTTGGGAAGATTACTGGGCACACATTATCTAGAATCAGTTAATATCAGTGCAATCACCTGACAGCTAGGGAAAAATTTCAGGGAAATGGGAAAGGAGAGAAACTCCAGAGAAAATGGATACAAAAAAGAGGAGCAAAGGGAAAATTATTGATGTGTTTTGCTGCTCACACTGATTAATTAAAGCAACACACTTCTGTTACACACATGCATCAAAACTGGTTCACACATCACTATGCATACCTGCTGCAGGTGTATTTGGTGATATATCAGTAAATTATTTAGCAGAAGTTTGATTTGACACGATTCACTCACAGTTGATTGAAGCTGGAGGGGTGGACAGAAATAGCCTGGCCCTTTCTCTTAGACCATACCTACAGAACTGTCCCCACATCAGCAAGACCCTCCCTCACGACGAGATTCCTAACAAGGCTTGGTCCACATATTTAAATCTTTGGTGAAGTTGTTGAGAAACTAGGGAGACTGGCCTGAGCTGACAACAGGAAGTATGGAACACAACATCATCAATGTCACCTTAGTGAAATAAAAAGAAACTATCTCATGTCAACACAAAGCAGAGCAAGCCACCACTTCAGGAATACCGACTGGCATAAATATGTGGTAATTGTTATGCTATGTTATGATATTCAAAGCTACAACTGAATATCAATGGTATTTTACCACTGGCTGATCAATGTGATACAAACTCTTAAGAGTGGATGGGTCAAACAGGTCTGTTACTAAAGGAGGACTTAATAGTTTCATTTTACATTTTACTTTTTTTTTTTTAATACAAGGTCCATGAGAGTGAAAGTAGTTACTTGAGAAATTCCCAGATGTAATTTCAACAGCTTTTTAACATAAACCACAGGTGAACACAGACATACAATTCAGAGAAAATATGTTTTGATACCAGTGCGCTAAATAACCTGAATAAGATGGCAAATTATTAATTACAAATTGCCCACTGAAGAAATATCCTCTGTGGAACAACTGCTATTGTTACATGATGTACCTGGGAGTAAGCGTTTTTTTGGTGCTATTAGATTCAGAACTTCCATAGAAGTTGTCTTAACACACAGAAAGATGGAAACACAGCATTGCTGCTAGCTCCTCCCTAAAGAATGATCATCCCAAAAACTCGTAAGTGAAAAAAGACAAGAGATTACAAGATAGAAGCTGACAGCTGGATATGGATTATGGAATATGATTTTGGAACTAATAATAATGCTCTGGTAAAGTTGAGATGTTAGATCTACTGCAAAGCCTTTTGCTTTAAATGGCTTTCCCTTCCCAAGTTTTCCAAACATAGATATTACATGCACGCTCACATGTAGAAGCAAAACCAAACCTGCAAATTAATTAGCTATTGCTCACACTGGCTGAAAGGAGCAGAGATTAGTTTTGTGATCAGTATTTTTAAGCACTTGGGAAATACTCAGATACCATGGCCACAGCATGCATGTAAATAAATAAGAGGGTGGGGCACATGGAAGAAAGGAAAGGAAACAGAGAAAGAAGGGGGAAGGGAAGCAAAGATGGAAAAATGAGCTGAAATGCTACACCCCTAACAGTCTTCATGACGCATCAGGTATAACAACAAATTCTCTCCAACAAACACACCCAAATAAATGCTCATTTAGGGCAGGGAACACTTAGGGAATTGACACAAAGAAAACAGTAATAGCACGAATAAATAAAATTTACTTCAGCCATTTGACAGATGAGCAGGTATCAACTGAAGGTTAAGCGCTCTACTACTTAAGCTCTCATGACCATGAAACGTTAAAGGCTTTGAAATCCCATAAAAGTGAAATTAAGATAAAATAGAAAAGGTCAAAACAAACAAAAAAACCCTCTTTTACAACAAACATGTCTGAAGGAGAATTTAGGCTTCTCTAGCACTTAAATGTTCCTGAATTTATCAGCACCACTTTCTTTGCTGATTGTTTTCTCTCTACTTGTGCTCATCATGTTTAACAGCTCAGTTTATAATTTCTGCAGATTAATGAATTTGTACTATCGCTGTAGGTTCTAATCAAGGCTGATGTGCAAATAGATCTGTGGGTCAAGCTACAAATGGATCTTGTAAAAGAAAAGAATGTTAGTGGTTTAGATCCTGTTTCCTTTGCAGTTGAACAGTTTTTATCCTTTTCTGCCTTGCAGTCTTATGTAGACTCACTATTTGTTGTGCTGCATTTCAAAGGTAGCAAAAATAGTCTCTCTATTCACAAAGCTGATTTCTAAAGTCTTTTCTCAACTAAACCTAATGAGACTTCTGCTTCAGTAAGTATTCAAATACAGAGTTTCAAAGATACCTTGTTATTTTTCCTTTTGAAAAACTTCCCTTCGGTTTGAAGCCTGTCCAAAGTATAGTCTTAATATAATACTATCATGACCCAACAGTATTTTTTGGAGATCTTTCCCTGCAGTGTAAGGGTACTCTCTTTTCAAGTTTTGATTGGAGGTGAGGTCAGACCTAAGTTCAAGGATCTTTTTCACCAGTTCTGGACCACCACTGAACACTGAGTTCTGGTCCCATTCTCACTTATCCTAAGTAAACTCTGTGACTAGAATATCATCAATAGGTAAATATGAGAGGATTTTTAATTTGCTTTGGTCCCTCTGGAAAATGATATAATTGCACATGGATAAGCAAAGTAGATATTCATCTATTAGCAGGATAGCTCTTTGCTACTCTAGGCACAATTTATTCTTGTTTTGCATCTGAACCCAACTCTAACCTAACTCATACAGGGGTTTCAAAGGTTTACTTGCAAATAGTTACAGGCATCCTTAACAGCCTTTCCTCTCATGTTCACTGTCACTTCCTTTACACACATTTTAACTCTGACGGCTTTTGACTATTTCTACATTGTTTATAACATTGCTGTGTCTTTTCTTGTGAAATCTAAAACTTCTTGCCACAAAAAGCTAGCTAATACGGTACATAAATCTTTCTTTCAAAACATTTCATTCTACATATGCCAAAAATAAATGAATTGACTAAACCAAGTCTCCTGACCATGCTTGGCTTCTGACCAGCTTAATGCACAAAAAGGTTGAGATTACCTAAAGACAAAAGCTAAAGAGTTTGCAATTTATTGTATTGTCAGCAGCACACTGTCTGAAATAAGGAAAATACCCCAGTAATACATACTTTGATACACTCATTGCTCCAATTAAAGGCAGTGCATTGCAGTTACAACGGAGAGACTAAATGAAAATAAAGTACAAAAAGATCTTTGAACTTATCTCCCATCAACTGGTCATATAATTGAAAAAAATACTATTAACTCTGCCAATATAAAATACACAGAACAATGTCTTTTACTCACAGTATCAAGGTTGGCCACATGTAGCTACATTTGCAGTACATAAGGTGTTAATCCTCCTGGGATGTGCTCAAAAATTATTTAACATTCAGGCTATTATTTAGCATACAGCTGGTTAGCAGTTTTCCCCTAAAATGCTGGCTTCAATCCCACATTTTTTTGTTCTGGCACATACCTGGAGCTGTAAAGGGCTGAGTCCAGAAGCAGCAGCAGCTGCCATTGTTGATGGAATGAACTGCACAGGGTAGTTATCACCTGTCGGGAGAACAATGCGTGCAGGTTCAGACAATGAGCAGAGAATAGCAGCAGACAAGTGCAAACATGGACCTAAGGTTGTCTGTGCTCCACAGCACTCCTCTAAGCCTAAACATCTGCAAAAACAAAAGGCTTTGCTGGGCATGGACTTGCCATTCTCTCTTGGAACTTTTTTGTTAGCATATAGCTAGTAGGCAAACTGGCAAAACATAGATGTGATACTCGTGATTTTAATTTTCAAAAGCAGATGTTCAAATCAAGTGTATAAGCTTGGGCACAGAATGGGCCTTAAGGCCACAGACACACGGGCAAGATACCCCTGGAAACCCCGGTGATTCCCAGAGGAAAAAAATTGTTGTCACCACATGTTTCTTAAAACAGAAGAAATTTGTTACAACTCAAAAAATTTCATTGCTGTTTAATGCAAGGTGATTTCTTTCCAGTATTGAGTGGCTCTTTCCTGGGAAAGCTATCTGGCTCACAGGTTGAGGATGATTCTGGTTTTGAGGTTGAGGGTCTCTGTCCTAGGATACCTCCTTTTATGCAGCCGTAGAGAAAAGCAGAATTAAATCACTTTTAAAAATAGCTTGAAATATAATTTTAACTTTCTTTTAGATCTGGGAACCTAATGAAGTTGATAGATTAGGTTCAGTTACATGAAGATTCAGGCTCTAAAATTTCTGTATTCTCTTCATTGGAAACTGAAAAATCTATGCCCTCTGCATTGAGGGAACCACAAATGCTCCAGAAAGCAGGAGGTACAATTGATCCAAAATGAGAATGCTGACATTCTATCTTATAGCATCTATGGGTGTTCCTACATACCTGCATCACACAGTGCCATTGGGACTATTAACCAATGTAAAGAAAGAAGGAAGGCTGAAATACTTTAGCAGTGTAATCTGTATAATATAAAAATGCATACAGTGCTAGATAAATGACACAGTAGCTATTATTTAATGGTATCTCACTTTGGCTCAAGCTACTTATTTAAAGTCAGTGTTATGTACTATCTACAGGCTACATTTTAACTGGCTGCTCCTCTGTACATTTTTGAGATTTACAATAATCAGTCTGTTTTACATAAATGTTTCCACACTAAAAGCAGAATGTAGCAATGAGGGAAAATACAGAAATCCAAAATAATATAATAAGGAAATTCCAAGAATTAGATTTTTTTTGCCATCCCCCTCAAATTAATAATGATAGCTGAGCCTTTGTAGTCACTGGAGTCCTCAGAACCCTCCCTTTTTACCACCTGAAGTGCTATTGCATTCAGCTGAGTTTAAATGTTTTTTTGTTTCACTTTTTAAATAAATAGTACATGTCTAATCTAGAAGTTCTCTTTGTATCATATCCATAATACCTCATCAGGCCATTGAGCACAGTACGTGCCTGTACACAGTCCAGTAACAATTGGATTCTGATTGCATATGGAGCTTTGCTACAATGCATTCACTAACACTATATTGTACTGGTCTCCTATGGAGTAATGTTCAAAATATCTCCTCTTATTTTCCCCCTTCCATGAGGTTGATTTTAATTTGCAATGATGTTGGGGGTTTTTCTTTAAAAAAAAAAAAATAAAAAAAAATTGTAAAAACAACAAAAAAAAACAACCCCTAGATCCTTTTCTTAAAGTACTAAAGCTGTCTCTTTACAGTTAAATAATTCTACTCATCTCTTTGATATTTATATGAAATTATCTGAATAAATAAGATCTAAATCTAAGTTAAATAATGTTTCTTTTAGAAATATCTTACAAGGTTTTAAAAAAAAATCACAAAGATGTTGAATTAGTGATGCTTTAAATGGGAGCGAAGGGGGGGAATAACCATCCGACTTATCAGCATGGACTGCCTTGCAGAACATTTTGGAGGCATTCTTTCTTTAAATATCATGAATTATTCATTCCTGTTCCGTACAGCAATCTCTTCTTCCTCCCTCCCCCTCTGCATACACTTTTTAAGTTCAATACCAGTTGCTTATTTGTACTAAAACATTTTCCATGTCAAACATATTTTAAAAAAAATCAAACTCTAAAAGAATTCCCTGCGGCACTCCTTTTTCACAGCTGTCATGCTCCTATGGTTTGAAATAGCTGGATATTTTATACACATGCGTGCACACATAGAGGTTTTGTCTTCGCAGTTAATTTAATAGTGTCTCTACCACACCCTGTAGTGTTCTCTTGCTCACCTGCTGGCTACAGTTCATTCTTCTGCTACAGGAAAAGTAACATTGTAGTTATGTAATTTATTTGTTATTGAAACATAATACTGTCCCTTTTACCCCTCCTTTTAACATATTAAATTATGGTTAAGTCCTGGTATGTCTGTGCTGAGAAGAAAAATTAATACTCTCTCAGCTCTGGAGTACCTCCCTGACACTAAGCAGTAAAAGCAGAGCAAAGGTACTCTTTTCACCCTTGAGGAAACTGAGCATGCAGGGAATGGACTGGTTTTAATTTTTAATTACATATTTCCCCCTCTCATTTTCTCAGTGCAAGAATGGATCAAGAAGATTCTCAGTAGCTGTCTTGGCAAGAAATCAGTCAATGTATTGTAGCCTTTTTTTTTAAATTTGTTTCTTGATTTGGAATGCTTGCATAAGAATCCATTCATTTAAATTTGTACAAAAGGCAGCAGAACATGTTCGGACAGGTCTGTTTTAGGTACTGGTGTGCGCTGGCCTTTGATAACCAGCGGTGAGAAGAATACCAGAAGAACAAACCCTGTCACATTTTGCAAACTGATCTCTTCAATCTCTTTGCTGTGCTGATTGTCTATTTACATTTGGCTGCTGTTGTTTATATATAAATTGGTGTTTACAAGCCATGGAAAAGTATGCCAGACTTCTGTTCCATTTGTCAGGTTGAGCAACATTTCCAAATGAATAAAAGCAGTGAGCAATTGTACTGTGTAATTCTACATAGAAATAATGTAAATGTTTCTTTTTGTCTTGGATGAAGCAATGAAGCTTAGTGGACATTATTTATAGGATATATGGACTTAGTTTCCAGATCAAGGCTCTGTGAGCTGTAAGGAAAGAAGGATGTCTGGCTCTTTTGAGACTCAGAGCAGGGGAAAGGTGTTGCTTATTCCTCGTCTCCCCTAAAGCACAACTGTAAGACACACACTGATTCTCCTTATCTGACTTACAAAGCCTTCATTTTCCCCATTTTGGGATTGTAACTTAAAATCTGTCTCTTCATGCATGAATCTTAGACTGCTACTTGCAATCTCTCCAGGTGTACTCACAGGAAACAGTTGGAGGAGACTTAAGAGATACAAATTCCAGGGCCTTACTCTCCCAGGCATACTGAACAAGCTAAGGAAAGCATATCTCTCCTCAGCGTGTAGTCGAGATACAGCAAGTCGGTACACACTCCTGCAATATTCCCACACAGAGCATGCATTTTGTTTGTGCGAAGGCATCAGGATTGAGAAAGATTTTACTACAGGTAACTGGCTATGGCAATACTATGGAACATCTCCCCTGTCTAATGACACCACCTTTGTTCTGCCTTAGATCTGAGGAGGGTTTGCTGCAACACCGCCTTATTGCCACCCTCATGTCACAGCAAAATCAGTTGCCCCAACAATTGCCTGTCTGCAGGTAAAGAATTTCAGTGCAAACTCCCAGCTCAAAATATTCAGCTGCCCCCTACCATTTCCAGCTCTTACCTCAACATTTAGGTGTTAGGCACATATGTATTGTTACAACAAATCCTGAGGTTACAAATTCCTTGTTCCAACCAGTAAAACCCAACAGGGAACACATGGCAGACTTTAATGCAGTCCTGGGGGATTTCTATTAGAAACAAGACTCATGTAGCACCTCTGCCATGCAAAGATACGTGGCCAACTCGGTACACAGTTGATCTGATGTATGCTTTCTGTTCTCACCTGCCAACAGGAACAGCAGCCTAATGAAAGTGGAGTGCTGTGCTATGTAAAATTTAAACTACCTTAGAGCTTTAAGTAAAACTTCTGAAAGGTCTCTTCCAAATGGAAACTGTAATGATGGGTATCGGTGAAATCCAGCAGACCTAGGATGATGTTAGTTATATGGATTAGCTACTGTAATTAAGGAGTTTAATTAGTTTGATGACAAATATATCACACATTCTTAGGTCCAGCTGGGTGACAATAAGACTGACATTTTTGTTTGTTTTGCTTTACCTAATTTTACTTTCATTGGTTTCAAAGGAGTTACTACTTATTTGCCCCAATGCAAGTAGGAACCAGGCCAAAACACTGGCTCCTTTTCTCACTATTTTTGCCACCAGCCTAGGAAAACTGTATCCGTTTTCACATTTCATAGTATTACCAGCATAGCAAAAATCTCTCGTAAACTATTTTTGTGTATAAAGTAGAATGACCTAGGTAGGCAGATAGGAGTCGTTTCTTAGCATTCTAATCATCATTTTTATATACTTTATGTGTGAAATACAAAGAAATGCTTTGAAAATACAATGCAGCATGTCAAAACCTTTTAAGACAGAGGTTTACAATCTCCGTAGCTTATGTCTGTATTTTCAGTAATCTTTTTCAGAGATACTTTCCACATCTGGTAAAGAACTGACATAATAGAAGACTATCAAGCAAGAGTAATCATTCATTTCCAAGTCACATGCAAATGCAGCCAGCATGGACAGTGGTCACTCTCCACTCAGAGCAAACCGGAGCTTCGTTTGAGCTCTGTGCAAAGTATGGTCGGGCTCCTCCCCAGCATTACTTCATATCAATACTCTATCATCATTCTACTTCCCCATTCCCTCTTAGCCACAAAACTTGAAGGAGGTAATACTTCAGGCACTGCAAGATGGAGGAGGAAACTGTCTTCCTCCTTATGCAACTTACTGTCTTCTCCTCTTGACCCAGAGCACTAATGGGGACAGGATAATCACATAATCACCACTAACTTTTCCTGGATGCATGAGGTTGGTTAAGTGAAGGGAAATTTGAACTGGAAGAGGACGTATAATGGTACTTATGTTACCCAGCAGTTCCAAGTAGTAAGTATAGAGGTCACAGTCCAAAAGACAGCACAGTTGCTTTGCTGTACTTGGAATATGAAATAATTATATTAGCTGCATAGCATGTCTGGGCAAGTATTAGCTTCCTAACAGCTGCCAGTCTCAGCTTCCCACTGGAATAAGTGGTTACCCCCACAACCAGGTACTCTACGAGGCTCGTCAAGCGCCTGCAGGTCAATAGTCACAACAGTCATTTGAGATGCATAGCGCCCTAAAGTTTTAATTAATCCAGTATACAGTACAAATACTGAAATATGTATAAAAAATTAATTAGGTGGTCTATGCAGCTCTGATTTCTCAATTAGTACTTACCATGCCGGAAAATTATATTACATGACTTTGAGATACATAAGGAAGCATGGGGCTTTGGGGATTTTTTTTTCCTAATGTAATTATTACTTGTCATCAGCACTTGCTAACTTTGGACTGTTTCACCTCCTAGAGCTCCAAAACATTGTGGGGGAGGGAGGAGAAGGGGGTGGAAAGAGGTTTACAGCAACCTCATGTTATAGTTCCTGCCAGGCAGCAGGAAACTCTGTCCTGTCAGGCTTTAATATGAATCATAGTTGTATATCAGCTATTTCTCAGGTTTTCTGTTCATAATGACTTTCTGAGCTCAGGAGTTTAGGAGCAACTAAGGAACATGCTGGAAGGCACTCAGAACCTAATAAATTCTCCTCTCTTCTATAGGTCCTTCAATTGAGGACATGACCTAGCGTAGTTTGTTATAGGAATGCCATTTTCTTACTTCAAGGCAGTTTATGCGCAGATTTGCACCAGTACTCAGTAACTGCTATCTTGGCATTGAACTAAACAGCCATGAAATCATTTCCCACTTAGTCCATGAAGATATAGGTACATGGACATGTGCACGTAATCATATCCCCACTTGTACACCAAGTCAGGACTTCTCATCTTGACTCCTCTGTCACACTAACACTGATATGCTGCTTCCAAGTTGGAGCTGGCTTATATCTAGCCCATTTTCTTTGAGGACAATTCAAATTAAGTGACTGTGCACACAGTATTTGACATTCCCTAAATGACACAGTTTCAAAAGCAGTCAGCTCCCATAGTTTCTGTTTTTGAAATCCCTTTCACTTTATTTTCTGAAAGTCAAAGAAAAGCGATAGTGTCAAAACTCAGTCTTGCCTAGATCAAACTAGAGTAAAATGAAATAGAACCTAAACAGACAACCAAGAAGAAAAATGGAAGTATCTGAAGGGTTAATCCATCTGCTACCTTTCCTCAGAAGTATAAGCAAGTTTAAACTGACAGTTCTAGAGGTGAAAGTTTCATTTCTCACAAAAGTAGAAGAGTACAGGTAGTAGCAGTCAAGTTCCTCAGAAATTACTTTGGAGAACCCTCTCTATGAAAGAGTGTAGCTTAATCTCCAGTTTAATTAATTCCTTAACTACTGTGCCAAGAGTGCCAAAAATAGGAGTCAATCAATACCAAGTGTAGTTAATGGCATTTTTTTATCACTATGTCTCTCCAACAAAAACTACTGACCTGCCCAGCTACCTTTGGCACACACACGGTAAAATTTAATAAATATATTAAAAATATAAATATTCTCATTTCTTGCAAGTCACTGGGAATAATCAGATCATTGTGACTTCTGGTCTTTACTAGCAACAGCTGCATATAAACCACTAACATACTAGCCAACAGCTTAGCTGTGTTCTGAGGTATCTAGGCCTTGATTTTTGCCTGCACTTCATTCTTTAAACCTGTATTACAGATCTCTCCTTCTGTTTTCCAGGAAGTAAAAAAGTGCCCTAGATCTGTATCACCTGCTGCTATGAGGTCAACAGGATCACACATAAAGGAGTATAAGCTTGATAAAGTGTTAGGACAAGTACTGTAAGAAACACTTTAGAATAAGCACAGAAATCTGTTCTTGTGGGGGAAATCATGCTGGTACTCTTCTTCCCAAGTCATTATTTTACAAAGCAGCCTACAGAAGCCAAAATCAACACAACGCAATTTGACATAGCAGCTTTCAGGGAGAAGCACAACTAGCAGCTTAATCATTAATAGTCACTCTTCAGAAAGTATCTCAGATTAATATGGGGGAAGGAAGGAAACTGAAGCGCATGCTTTCTGTTGGCTGTGAGAAGAAAATTATTAGCCCGTGTGTCACAGACAGTTTCCACAAGTGGCAACTCTTATGTCTGTGGAGACAAAATATTCTTCGCTTTGGTCCCCAACTGTCACAAGGTGGTGATGTGTGTGAATAACCATCATCCTGTGCCACCTAGAGCTAGGTGTCTTTCAGAGCTCCATTTCAGAGCACTGCATAGAGTGCATCAGTTTGTCAAATAGGAGAAGAACTTTTGGATTCTAAACCTGAAAATAAGATGATAACAAAGATAATAACAAAGGACAAAGATTCTGTGTTTAAAAAGGAATGTCTCTAGTCCAAAGAGACAGAAGAGAGTGGGACAAATGGAAATACTTACTGAAATCCTGCTTAGCCTCACTTCATCTAATATTAAGTAAACTTAGGGTTTTAGGTTCAACCTGCCTTTTAATTAGTATGCTGTTTACACCATCTATTATGAGGCTTTACTTTGGATTTGACCCTGTTCCAGCTGCAGTCAACAGCAAAACCACCACTAATATCAGGGGGAGCAGGATCAATGCTTTACTTTGTACGTCTCATATTTAATGTCAAAAAAAGATACTGGTATATATGTTTTGTAGTTATTAGTTACCAGGTTAATATGCTAAAGGCAGCTTGAAAGGGAATTAATGAGCAAAATAAGGTTGCTCCTTCTGCACTGAGGTCACTTACAAAGAATGTACAAATGAAAATAAGGTTGACTTTTATTTACTTAACTATCTTCCTACATTGAATTTCTTTGGCAATGTGTCTTTAAACATTTAAAGCCCTGTTTACAAGGAGGCTCTGAAAGTAGCTTCAAACCATTATATCCCTAATTGAATTCCCCAGGAGTCCTGTAAACTTGGAGGAAAAAAAGACAGAAATCGAAACATTTGCTAAATCATCTCAAAACATATTTCATTACAAGGTTATGTGACCTGTTACAAGTCTGAATGATGACTGGGATTGAACTACTGAAACCTTTTATTATTCAGATTGAAATCAAACAAAAGAGTTAGAATTTTGCACAAAACACAAGTATACTGAAGATACCAGAATTAATTAAAGATACGTATAATGGCATTTGTATAATGGCACAGGTCAGATGAGAAACAAATTACTAGGCAAGTGGGCCAATACATTTAGAGCAAATGATTTTATGGGAAATAAAGGTTAAAAAAATCATGACAGTCAATAACTAATATTCCATCCACCTCCTGAAAACCAGAAGGATTTTTCAAGTGGAGCTGCAAAAACTCCACACTATTGCCAACCAGCTACACCTGTTATGCATCATCCATATGAGACAGATCACACAAGAAGCTACAGTTAATATCTTAAAATGTTAAATAGCTTCACATTCCTGTCAGCTTACCTGGCTTGTAAGTTATTCCAGGGGGGAAGAGGAATCCCTGCTGGGCTGCAGCAGCCGCTGCCAGCGTCCGCTGGTCGTGTGGAAAAATTGGGATCATGAGCGGAGGCATGTGACCCTGAACCTGCTAAACAGAAGAGAGCCTCTGATCAGAAATAGCACAAATTTGTCTTGACAGGTATTTCTCCCATACTGATAGTGTTCTTGTGTTCACACAGTCCCACAGAACCTTTGCCTTAATATAATCCCTGCCAGTTTCACATTATCACATCAAAGCCCTCACTAACATTGTTTTCCCTCAGTGTCAAAGGTGTAACAGTCTCAGTGAACTGCACATTTTCGTACTTCTTCTGCTCCTCTATTATTTTTTTTATTATTAATATTTCCCATCCTGGCACAAGCTAAAAAGGTATAAAACCTGTGTAATACACTATAGGTTCTTTAAAAAGGAGTATGTACTTCTAATAATTTTTCACAAGTTTTCTCATCTTTGGCCACAGACAGCAGTGACAAGCATTTTAGAGGTAACGTAACACTGCAGCAGCTATTTTGATGTTCAGATTTTAGTACCCTTAGGGTAATTTTAATTCTGAGATCATACAACATTGTACTGTTCATATATATACCAACAACTCAGGTATGTTATTTCAAAATCTATTGAATAGTCTTCTAGTCAACAACCAGCTCTTAAGATTTAAGGCTCCAACATCTTGGCTCCCAATTAAACTAACATCCTTTGCCATACACACCTCACTATGACATATAAATTGTTTGTCTGTTTAAGCAGTTTTATAGCTTTATGCGCTATCATGTACCTTGGTAATTAAGGAGCTGTATTCAGAGACCATTTCAGAATAAAACCTACTTTATCAAACTTAACTTGACCTTATTAAATGTATCAAAAAAGCAAAAACATGCAGAAGAAAAAAACTGTTCACCTTATACCAGCATTTGTATTTAACATATAGAAAACGGGAGATGTGATAGAATTGTGTCTGTTAAATCCACATGTTAATTTCCTAGTTTCTTAGTTTATGCTTCGTGTGTTTCAGAGACAGTGGCTAGGATCACAAATAGTTCTTATCCATCATTGCTTAGCCCCAGAAGTACCCAAGGGTTTGACTATGATTTTTCTGATTAGTAGTTAAGCAAACATACAATGGTTTATATATCAAAGCCAGTAAATGTAGGAAGAAATTGGGCTTTTAGGCAGAAAAAAAAAAAATTCCCTCATCCTACCATAAATCGGTGGCATTAAATACTATTAAAAAGTTAAAGTACACTTCAAGCAATTTTTTTTTTTCATTTAATTCCTAAAAAACTTTTTTTGGTCAAATCCCATATGGTGACCTATGACATTGTTTAAATAGTGCCAAATTTTCTTGTCATATCCCCATTACTTTCACAACCACTGATGCAGTGCAGAAATGCTACTGTGTGTGTCTATGAGGGTTAATTTACCAACAACTCTTCTCCTGGGAAAGCTGCAAGATGTAGGTTAATAAAGGTCAAGCAAAAAATAAACACTTTACAGTATTTTTTGAATCCATTTCTCAGGAAAATCAACTTATAATGAAAAGGTCTTTGTGCAATTACTGCTATGGCACTGGGGCGTGAAAGAAACTAGCTTTGAGCAGTTATTTCTCTCATTTTAGCTGAGGTAAGCCTGGCTGTGTGTTTTAGGATATGAGTTAAACTTTGTTAGATTGAAGTTGATCCCATGTGCCCAGCACAGGCATTTACCTCTGATAAAATGGTCCTCGTTTTGCTGTGCGGTGTTCCTTTACACTGCCTCTACAGGAGTACAGCAAATGAAAACCACAGGCTTTGTCTGATAGAAACAACTGTAGGATATATCTTAAGGAATTCAATACAATAGAATTTACGATAATTTTCAGTAGTTCATATCTACAGTTTAACCAAATGGGCATGTGGCTTAAGAAATATCTCTTTCGGTCACCACGCACAGAAAATATTTCCCTGGGGTTGCAAAGGTACATGACACAGACATAATAACACAAGACGCAGAAGAGATCAGGTGAACACATGCATGAGTACATGGTGAATACATACCCATAGCAATACTGTGCACTGTAGTGTCTTAAAAATAATTTGAAATATGTAAGAACCAAATCCAGTGGTTGTTTCCCAATGCAATCCTGTAGAGTTGGATCCACTCCATCATATCCAAAAAGTTTGGTTTATTTTTTTAAAACCCTCTCAAATAAAAACAATTCTGTAAGTGTGGAGAATTGCCACTGTATGTTCTGGAAATCTGCTATTCTTCCTTGAAATACTACTCTGAATGCTGGATCAGGTCTTCAGCCTATATAAATCAGTGTAACTTTGGCTAAAGGTGGCTTACATTTAAAGTGTAAGTTTGAGTTTACACTTCAGAGAGTTATACAGACTGAAAAAAAAACTACTGAATGGGAACCATTCCCTCCCATGGGTCTTCCCTCTGGCACATGTTAAATACTATTCCTAGGTAAATTTTATTTTCACACAGAATTATTATATACATAGGTGTTGATTTTCAGCACAGGTCAACTGAAAAGCACAAATAAACATTTGTGAGTGTACAGGTGTCACTGAATTAGTGAAGATATAAAATGAATACCAAAAAAAAACCCCAGCAGACACCTAATTTTTCACTTTTTCCTGAGGGTTCTAATATTAATATTGGTATCAGTATTATTTTGATTTTACTGAGGTGGGGAGAAGTTGGGAGGAGGGGTTGGTAGGTTTATTTCATAAAATCAGCTACATGCTCAGAAATTTTAATTGCTGAGATGTTTCTGAGGTCCTTCTGTAAACCAAGACTGCAGCAGATGCCTGAGAAACACTCTGACTGTCTCTTCTCATTCATAAAAATAGCGTATTGTTGGATTGGCACTTTCCCCTTTTGTTTCCTCTGTGCTAAGTTGTTGATGATGCCATTTTTTGCCATCTGCCCCAGAGCTTCATTAAAGATACATGAATGGACTAACTGGGCTGCTATCTTTCGAGGAACAGGTGCTATTGTTTGTCCCTGAAGACTTGCACTAAAGATCTCACTCAGAATACTTGAGAAAGAGCATCTGCAGCAGTCAGTCAGAGAGTAACTTGGCAACTTGGCAGAGCCCATACTATGGGCTAATATGCAAACAGTGTCACTCAGGGGGACTCATTTTCTCTTTCATGAAGATTTTTTTTTTTTTTTGTGATGGGCAGTATATGTTTGGTTTTAAACAATTCTGCCCATCTATATCCTTAACAGAACTGAACAAATCCTCGAGGAAACCTGAGTATATTCTTTCCAAAATTCAGTTCTGCAACCTCTAGTAAAATCATCTCCTTATACAAGGCTACCTCAGAAAATTAATCTTCGATTCTATACAACAAGCTCAGGTTTAACTGTGTTAAACATGAGAAGCCACCAAGATCAGGGAACTCTTAAACACAGTGTACCATTCCTTTAACATCCCATCACAACTCTGACAGCCCTTGGGAACTGATTACAGCACTTCCTTGTCTGAGATCTAAGTCAGGAAGCAACTTTAGAGCAAATCAGTCCTGATTAGTTCAAGAAGCAACTTCCAATTTGATTCTCCCTGAAATAATAAAAGCCAGTGGCCTGTTTGATAAGCTGGGCAAATCTGCAGTGCTTTGTCCCACAGTCATGTGAATGCTAATCGCAAGAGTTGGCTGGACAATCCTCCTTTTTAAAACGTCATTGATGGTTAGTGCTGTGCATGGAAAATGGAAGCTAAAGTGATATGTCATACAAAAATAATGCTCTGAATGAAAATGATTTGCCACTTTTGAGGCACACAGGGACACAGCACATTTAGTGAGACAGAGAAGGAGGAAGGCTTCTGTTGTTAAAAAACAAAACAGCCTCTGCAACAACTAATATTGCAGCTAGAGGGTAAAGGCATTCAGAGGAAAGGATGGCAGCAGTGCAAGCAAAAAGGCAGCTCACACACTTCTTAGCTGGGAGGATCACAGGTTTCAGGAGCAGAAGTAAATCCTACCTTATAATGGGGCATGAATCCCTCACAAACTTTTCAAGATCAAACCTGAAAAGTTTCCTCTGTGTTGCATGATTTATTTCAGTAGTGGGGAGAATTAAGTGCCATCTTTTTGAGAGACAGTAAGCACAGTCTTTATGATATTTTATCCCTTCCTTAAAGCTTTTTTTTTTTTTTTTTTAATTACAATAAAATCTCTGGGGCCTGTTTTCAACTTGTAGAAATCTTAAGATTTCTATTGAGTGTAACAGACTACTCCAACACGTTAACTTACTGAATGAATTTTTTTAATTCCTTTAGCATAATATCTACAGTGCCTTTTGTCCTTGTGATGTTGCAGCCTCTCTGAGAGCCTAATTCATTCTCAGGCAGGTTTAAACTTTTCACAGTTTAAACATGAATTTCTACATAAGATTTTTTAACTTCTTGAATAACTGGTATAGCCAGACTACAACTTTAACCTGTGTAAGCAGTCATTAAGCTTTTAATTTCCATAGTTAAAAATGTGTTTGAAATTGTCTACTCTCACTTAGAAACCACATTGTAATAGACAAGGTTCCCAGGTGTCATGGAAATGGCATTGTATTAAGTAAGAATGTGCATTTTCAGAATGCCCAAAATATTTGCCCATATCATAGAACATATGAATGGCTATAACTGATAGCTTAACAGGTTACATTTTAGGTTGATCCATTTTAAAAGTCTAAATATCACTGAAAGCAGTGTGTGTGCCCCCAGTAATATTAGGGCAAGTTTTCAAATACCCTGCACATTATATATATTTACTTCATCTGCATTTTAAATAGTCTGTATACAATGCATGGCACTATTATTTTTATATCACCATTGGAATTTTATTTATCTCAATAACTAGTCTTGGGTTTTGTTGTTCTTTGTAAGAGGAGAAATATAAGAAGTTGTGTTAATTTGAAGTTTAAGTAATTTTTGTGACTGCAAGAAAGCAAACGCCATGTTGCATAAAGAAGGGATGACTTTAAGAAAACACATACATGTGAAAGTCAGTGGGATCACTTAAATGCTTAAAAGCAGCTATATGCTAAGAGTTTTGCAGGTTTGGGCTGAAATCTGCTCCCCAGCTCTGCCAATGCTGTAA